GAACTGCAGGCTGTGGAAGGTCGGTAGTTCAGCAGTTCGAGACCTGAGCGTGCCGCATGACGGAGTGAGCTCCCGTCTCTGGGTCCAGCTCCTGCCAACCTAGCAGTTCGAAAGCAAGAAATTGCAAGTAGATAAATAGGTACCACTTCGGTGGGAAGGTAACAGCGTTCCGTGCGCCTTGGTGTTTAGTCATGCCGGCCACATGACCACGGAAACGTCTTCGGACAGCGCTGGCTCTTCGGCTTTGAAACGGAGATGAGCACCGCAACCCTAGAGTCGGATTCGACTGGCTTTCGAGCAAGGGAACCTTTACCTTTACTTTACTTTCTCTACCTTAAGGAGCCTCAAAGCAGTTTACAATCACCTTCCCTTCCTCTCCCCACAACAGGCACCTTGAGAGGCAGGTGGGGCTGAGAGAGCTCTGAGGGAACTTGTGACTGGCCCAAGGGTCACCCAGCTGCCTGCATGTGGAGGAGTGGGGAATCAAACCCGGTTCTCCAGATGAGAGTCCTCCGCTCTTAACCACTACAGCCATGCTAGCTAGAAGCCATGGATGCCTCCGTCTCCGCCCTAAAATCCCCATCTGTGCCCTTTCTTTGCAGCATCTCCGGGGCGAACTGGGAGACTTCTTTGTCGGCTGCATCTACACGGCGGAACTGAGCACCCCGTTTGTATCCCTGGGCAAGATCCTGATGCAGGTAAACGGGACTTTCTTTAGGAAGTTTGCCTGCTTTGTCTCGAGGTGGCTCGCCATCAAGAAAACCGAGGTGCCCATTAAAAAATCATACCAATGAAGACGTATCCATAAAACTATCCAAGTCAGTAATATAAAGCATGCTAAGGAAAAGGGCCAATAAAAGCAAGCGATCATACGTAAAACTGAGCTTTCTAAACTACCCAAAAAACAATCCTCCGCTTAAGAGCAGACAATGGTGGCAGAAAGTACCATTAAGTACCATTAACCCCCGTAGGGTTTTCAAGGCAAGAGACATTCAGAGGTGGTTTGCCACTGCCTGCCTCTGCGTAGCAACCCTGGACTTCCTGGGTGGTCTCCCATCCAAGGACTAACCAGGGCTTCTGAGATCTGATGAGACTGGGCTAGCCGGGGCCATCCAGGGCAAGGCAGAGACTAACAGAGGTGGTTTGCCACTGCCTGCCTCTGCGTAGCAACCCTGGTCTTCCTGGGTGGTCTCCCAACCAAATATTAAACCGGGCCAGCCATACTTCGCTTCCGAGATCTGTTGAGTCGGCCTGTTGAGTTCATCCAGGTCAGGGCAACAACAGACTAAAAAAAAAAAAAAATTGAAACCTCTTAATAAAAGCCAAGTAAAGAGAAGCATTTTGGCCTGGTGCCAGGCGAGCCTCAAGGGCACGGGCACTCCCAATGCAATGAGTTACGGATGCCTCCATTGCGCAAAGGAAGGCCCTCCTCCCCGTTTAAACCAGGGACAGACCTCATTCTTTAACCTCCGAAGGGTGACATTTCACATGGGCAATAGTAAAAACCACCCATTAACATAAGAACATAGGAGAAGCCAACGCTGGATCAGGCCAGTGGCCCATCCACTCCAACACTCTGTCACAAAGTGGCCAAAAATACCAGGTGCCATCAGGAGGTCCAGCAGTGGGGCCAGGACACCAGAAGCCCTCCCACTGTTGGCCCCCCAAAAAACACCAAGAATACAGAGCATCCCTTGTCCCGGAGTCCCTATCTATACCTTGTGGTATAGATTCTCCAGCGAGTATGTAACTTTGGATGAGCCTTTCTTGATCTATCCAGTGGTACATCTAATCCTGTTTCCAGATGCCCCTGAATGCCCATCAGGAGAGGCACAAAGGCCAAAGCCTATTAAGGCCCCCCCAGCACTGATATTCAGAGGTACATTGCCCTTAAACGTGGAAGTTCCATTTCGCCATCATGGTTAACAGCCCTGGGTAGACAGATCTTTCATGAATTTGTCCCCTACCTTTTTTAATGCCGTCTAAGCCACTGGGCATCACTGCACCCTGTGACAGTGAGTTCCACATGTTGACAATATAGCGTGTGGAGTAGTATTCTCTTCTGGTGCATCCTAAATCTGTTGCCCATCAACTTCATTGGATGACCCCGAGTGCTGGCATTTGGATAGAGGGAGAGAAAATTATCTCAGTTCTCTGCATAGTTCTACAAATCACTGTCTCAGTCATTGTCCATTTCTCCTAAGCTTTTCTTTGTTAGAAAGACACTCCGAGCCATCAATCGTTTCTGTTGCCCAATGTGTACGTGAAATACTTTTCTGATTGTGCCTCCTGATTGGAAAGAGGCAGTGAGTCATGCAGAGACACAAAAAAGGTCCTCTTGCAACATCTTTGATTTGGGAGTGACAGATACCCCAGCATCTGACACGAAGACAGGCCATAATTAAATACCCTCAATGGATATTAACTAGAGGAGTCTAGGCCAGAGCAATTGTCATTACTAAAATGATTTACATCCTGTTTTCAGTTGCTCAAAGCAAGGTATCATACAACCAAGCAGCAACATCCAGTTATACCATCAGGATGAGATAAAATCACAATACAGGTCTGAAATTAGTTTTAACACAGTGCGAAGCCAGTGCGAAGCTGGCTTTTAACCAAGGCTGACCACAGGGACCACAGGGACCATTTGGCTCCATAATGCCTTCTCCGATTGGCAGTGGTTCTCCCCAGGATCTCGGGGGAGGGGGGGGAGAAAACCAGGGATCGTCTGCATGCAAACAGCCAATGTGCTGCTTCCGAGGGTTGGCCCCTCCCCAGTTTTAAGGTTAAAACCATCAGCAAAATGTACAGGGGTGGGTGGGAGGAAGAACTACAAACCGTCACAGCTGCCAGCCAAGTCCAAACCCAAAGTGAACCAAAGGCCAGACCAAAGAGATTAGCGGGAGGGCTTAACCACACGGGCCTACACAACTTTAGCACAGACAGGTCTACAGCAGGGAACGGGGAAACCCCACAATCCCATGCAAATCCTATGCGATTGTAAGCTGTCTTGAACCAGAAGGGAAGGCAGGGTATACTGTTTTAATAGATACATAGATAAATAAATGCAGAAGCCAAGAAAGAAGAGGAAGAAGAGATTGGATTTATACCCCGCCCTTCACTACCCGAAGGAGTCTCAGGGTGGCTTACAATCTCCTTTCCCTTCCCCTCCCCACAACAGACACCCTGTGAGGTAGGTGGGGCTGAGAGAGCTCTTTCGAGGACTGCTCCTGAGAGAACAGCTCTGAGAGAACTTGTGACTGACCCGAGGTCACACCAGCAGCCGCATGTGGAGGAGTGGGGGATCAAACCCGGTTCTCCCAGATTAGAGTCCATGCTGCTGTCCACTACCCCACACTTTTCCCTTCTGCGTTGCCAGACATTACCTCCACCTGCTTCAGCCTCGGCTCCACAGAATGAATCTTTCCCAGGTCTTTGAGCTGCTACCCCCTTCTTGCATGGGTCAGGGGCCCAGGTGGTGCTACCTCCAAACTCCACAGAGATTCTGTTTTCTCTCAGCTACCTGAGCCCCAAACCTCACTCCTTCCTCTCCTTCTCCACCAGCTGGGGGCCTTTCATTCCCCCTCTTCTTGCCTCTCCCAGTCCTTGCCTTCCTTAGCTTGCTCCTGAGGAGAGACCCTTTCTCCCCAAGGAGACCTCTACACCAAAGGAGGCCTTTACCTCACAGGGAGCTAACACTGGCTGTCACCCCCCCCCCCCAGCTAACCCAGCAAACTTCTTTCCTCTGCCTTGTAGCTGGACCACTGCCTCCTAGGACTGCACCTCTCTTCTCCCCCGGGTTGGGGTGCTCCAGGGTGTGACAGGGCCTCAGATGAACCAGAGCAAGAAATCATGCAGAGATACAGCATTCAGACTCTTTTGTGGATGGGTACTTTTGGGGCTTTAACTATTTGCCATCTTTCTCTGCCAGATGCGTACACCCAGTGCCCCAAGGACACAAAGGGAGGTTTTTGTCTGTTCCAGTCATTTCTCTGCTGCCTCTCTGGAAAAACTGCTGGAGGCAACTGAACTCCCAGGAAATGTACAACAACATAAAACCCTAAAAACCACCAGCCACTTACGAATAACCAAACAGCAGCAGTAAACCATAAGAACCACCCAAGGGCGGAGAGAAAAACAATTCAGCAGCCGCCTCCCCCCCAAATGAGAGCGTCACCCAAGTCAGCATAAAATTGGTAGAAAAAGAAAAACTCAGCAGACATAAAACATTCAAGGCAGTAAATCAGCTAGTAAGATAGTTGTTGGAGAAATGTGAACAAAAGTCTGGGCAAATAAGATCATCTTCACCTGGCACTTAACACTTGCAGAAAAGGTGCCAGCTGAATTTCCAAGGGGAAAGCATTTCACCGACAAGGTGCCGCCACTGAAAAGGCCCTGGGCCTGTTTGCCTCTTGCAGGTGGGGGAACTCGAAGCAGGGTTTGAGGCAAGGTTCTGAGTGGGTGGGTGGGCAGGATGGTCCGAGTAACCCCCCCCCCGGCTGCCTTGGATTCTTCTCACTTAACCTCAGGTTTTTGCTTCCTTCCATTTCCGCAGCTCAAGCTGCAAGACTCGCTTTTGCACAAAGTGAACGGTATCCTCATCTTAGCCACCTTCTTCCTCTGCCGGATCCTCCTCTTCCCGTTCATGTACTGGGCCTACTCCCGACATTCGGGCATGCCCATCTACGAGGTGCCGTTCCGCATCCCCGTCCACTGCAACGTGGCCAACGCTCTGCTCATCGCCCCGCAGCTCTACTGGTTCTTCCTCATCTGCCGCAAGGCCGTGCGCCTCTACAGCAGTGCGCCAACTCCGGACCGAAGCAGATAACAACGGGCTTGGGCCCACCCTGCAAGCACCGGGGTTGGAGCTGGCCCGCCTCTCAGGATCCGTGCCTTAGGGACTGAGGGTCTGAAACCCACGGGGACCTGCGGCAGAGGCATGAGTTCCCTTCACTGCACACAGAAGAAACAGGGCTGGTCGGTGGCCAGCCTCCCACCCTCCAGCTCTCTCCTGCGTGCGGGACTAACCAGAGCCTGCTCTTGCTGGCCTCCTGCCAGAAAGAAACAATGGTAGTTGGATATTGAATGTTTGCAAGCCAGTAGGACTGGGGAGGGGGGTGCCAGAATGTGGGAGCAGCCCCCCAGCCTCCAGTGGCCCCCCGGTAGCCTTTTGAGGTTGGGACAGGCCCTGGACCAGAGCCTGAGTCGCAGGGGCTACTCCGTTGCTCCTTGTAGCGTCCAGCGGCTTCCCCAGCCATGCTTTGCGCCCCAGGTCTTCCTGCTTCCCCTTCTGACTGCCTTGTGCCACTCCCAGCTTTGGCACCCTCTCCTTCCGCCCCAAAGCAAACACAGCCAACACTACTGACTCTGGGAAGAGGGACCCACGGGGTCCACTCAGCGGCACAAGGTCCTTTCAGCAAAGAAACTGAATGCTGTAAGGTCTGGGTCCATCAGGGCTCTCCGTGTTCTGTGCTGTATAAGGATTCCGGCTCCCGCGCTTCAGCTTTCAGTTTTGAAACGACGCAAGTTCCCAGGCCTCATGGTTTAAGAAGACAGGACTGACAGCGGGCGGGCGGAGCTGCAGGAGGTGGGGAAGGGAACGGTCAGAGGGCTCCCCGGAGGAGCAGTGCCCTTTGCGTCTCTACGCCCCTCCTCACACCCAGCACAGGCAACAGGGGCCCCCTGTGGGCAGATGTGGCTCACAACACGATGGGGAGCAGATGTGCCAAGTTCAGTCCCCACTAGCATCTCCGATTATAAAAGGGTCTTCGGATGTGGAGAGCTACAGAATTTCCATGCGAATTGTTGGGCAGCCTCTACCAGCCAGGGTAAACGATGGTGGTGATAATGGAAAGTGCTGTCAAGTCACAGCTGAGTTATGGCCACCCCGTAGGGTTTCCAAGGCAAGAGACATTCAGAGGCTGTTTGCCATGGCCTGCCTCTGTGTAGCAACCTTGGGCTTCCCGGGAGGTCTCCCATCCAAGTACTAACGAGGACTGACCCTGCTTATCTTCCAACACTGGGCTAGCCTGGGCCACCCAGGGCAGGGCAAACAGTACCAGGCATGGGTTTTTGCAGAATTTGGACAGGAGCACACACCATCCCGGTCTGTGACGCTTGTGAATCTTGCAAGCATTAGGAAGGTCGTAGTGGGTGAAAACCATCCACCGATAACCTTACAGACTCCCTGGAGATAGATCAGGATGGGCAGCAATGTTCCCTCTAAGCTGTGGAGTCTTGGGAGCAAAAATTCTACTTTGTGAGCGACTGGCTTTATAGTTGTGAGCGAGCGGTTTGGCTACTGCATGAATTAGTTTGCTCCAGAGCCCTCCTTCCTGAGCTCAGACAAAAATGTGTGAGCCGGAGGCTAAAAAACTGTGAGCTGGCTCACCTTAACTCAGCTTAAGTGGGAACACTAATGGACAGCCATGTTAGTCTGTCTGCGGCAGCGTAAAAGAGCAGGAGGCCAGTAGTACTTTCAAGATGAACTGGATTTGTGGCAGGGCATGAGCTTTTGTGAGTCACTGCCCACTTCTTCTCAAGGCTCCTCCCCGCCACAAATTTCGTTAGTCTTTAAGGTGCCCCTGGACTCTTGCTCTGTTCTGCTCTTACAGACTCCAAAGCTGGTTGAGCATTTTAAAGCTCTGGAAGCTAGGATTTTTCTGAGCACCTAGATTCTGGGTCACTCACAGCAACGGATTCTGTGTGGGATTCCAGAATTGCAGGCGTTGGGGAGGAGCTGTCGCCAGTTTGGTGTAGTGGTTAGGAACGCAGACTCTAATCTGGGCGAACCGGGATTGAGTCCTCACGCCTTCACGTGCAGCTGCTGGTGTGTCCTTGGGTCAGTCACAAATTCTCTCAGAGCGGCGAGAGAGCTCCCTCACCCCCACCTACCTCACAGGGTGTCTGTTGTGGGGAAAGGAGATTGTAAGCTGCTGATATTCCTTTGGGTAGTGAAGGGCGGGGTATAAATCCAATCTCTTTCTCCTCTTCTATTGTTGGGATCTGGATTCTCCCTGGCCAAGCTGCTGGGGAAAGGCGAAAATTACAGGGGGGGACAGACAAGTTTGGTCCTTGTACAAGGAGAATCTCCTCCCTGGCAGACTACCTCCTCCAGGGATCCCCCTCTAGTGCCTCTTTATCCACAGAGCCCAGTCCAGCACTACCGGTTTGTATTAACAAAATGTGCCTCTGTTGGGTTTCTGTCACCTCTGATAATGGTGACTTTCACGATCCGCCATGTGCCTTACACACAGCAGGCAGGAAAGCAAACCGCCGCCCCACAGCCTTTAACACTGCACTAATTCCAGTTTGTTCTTGGTGAGCCAGCTGCTGGTTAATACTGCAAGATCCGTTCTGGAAAAATACCTGTTAACTGTCACGTTTACTTGTATTGTAATGGTATGTCTACCTGGAAGGTTTTTAATTTAAGAAACAGATTCTACACCTTGTCTTCTCCTGTTTGATGCTTGGAGTAATTGTGAAGAAACAGCGAGACTGGCCCAGTCTTCAGGGTTGCCCTTACAGGTTTTGGTCATGGGTTGGGGCAAGTGGTTAAGACGCTGAACTGCAGGCTGTGGAAGGTCAGTGGTTCAGCAGTTCGAGACCCGGGTGCTGCATGATGGCAACCCTGCAGTGTTTTTAATGATTACAGTCACTGACTTTCTCTGTTGGATCATCCAGATGATCATAGAGAGGGGCTGTTAGAACTGCCAAATGTTTTGGGGAGAAAAACAGTGCCACTGTGGTGTAGTGGCTAAGTGCGCAGACTCTAATCTGGGAGAACTGGGTTTGATTCCCCACTCCTCCACTTGCACCTGGCTGGATGACCTTGGGCAAGCCATCGTACTGATAAGAGCTGTTCTTGAAAAAGAGCCGTTTCTGCCAGAGCTCTCTCAGCCCGACCTACCTCACAGGATGTCTGTTGTGGGGAGGGGAAGGGCAGGGTATAAATCCAATCTCCTCTCCACTCCGTAGCTCACCATCCAGGTAATAACGTGGTCAGAAAGATTCCACTACTCTCTTTGGTCCTCCAGATGATCACAGAGTGGTGGCTAGACGTACCAAAACAGACTTCCAGGTCTTTGCTGTTGGCTGCAGAGGGCAAAAGAGGGCATTGCGAGACAACACCTGGATGCATGTGAAGGAGGACTTACTGCGCTTTGACAACCTAACAAATAAGCATGGGGGGGGGGCCCTCTACAGTTAGCGATTGTGCTACTAAGTGCTTTCTCACGAGGCTCAAGCCTTGGCTTCTGAAAGCAGCCAAATAAAGATTAAGACATGTCAACAGCTGGATTTGCCTCGCCCATCCCGTGGGAGCACAGAAAAGCCATTCGGGAGCAGCTGCTGAAATACCCAGCAGAACGACACCTCCAATACACTGAGGGGCTTAGATCCCCCACTGGAAAGATTAAACATGGAGGTTCTGCTTGTCTTGAAACAGCACATTTTTCCTTCTCGGGACCCAAGAACTACCAGAGGGGCATTCTTTCTCACTCGCAGACCCCCTCCCCTTTCTGAATTTACTTCTTTATATGCAGATGGGACAGGTTCAGTCCTTGACATTTCCAAACAGAAGGATTTCAACAGAGATGGAAAGATACTTTTTCAGCCCCTTGAAGAACAGACAGCTAGAGTCAGGCAATACTGGCTTAGAGAGAACAATCGCTGTATTCCGGCCAAGTGGCTTCATATTTTAACACTCCTCAAAAAATGGGAAAGGTGGTTACAGGATAAGAACATAAGAGAAGCCAATGTTGGATCAGGCCAAAGGCCCATCCAGTCCAACACTCCATGTCACAGTGGCCAAAAATACCAGGGGCCATCAGGAGGTCCAGCAGTGGGGCCAGGACACTAGAAGCCCTACCACTCTTGCCCCCACCAAGCACCAAGAATACAGAGCATCCCTTGCCCCAGACCGAGAGTTCCTATCTATACCTTGTGGCTAATAGCCACTGATGGACCTCTGCTCCATCACATTGTTCCCAGTTCCACTTTGGGAAGGGGGCCAGGGCTGTTGGTGGCGTGCATGTGCGTCGAGATACCACGCTTCTATCTTGGTCATGGTTTCTTTGGGGCCTGGAAGTCCCAAGGAATTCAGGAGCAAGAGTGGAGACCGGAGGACAACTCCTCTTGAGGTCCATCTTCTAACAGAGCTCTGTTGCTCCTTATTCAAGAGCTGAGACTCTCTGTTTCCCTGCTGGCCCCGTCTTTAATGGACACCATTCTATTCTTGGTCCTCCAGATGGTCATAAAGAAAGTGGCTATATCTGCCAAAACATCCGCTATTTTCACTATGGTTGCAATGGACAGCAAAATGCATTGTGGGATGTCTGGGGACTTGTGAGGATGAAAACACTGGGGGGGGATGTCTACCTTTGGTTGCTTAACCTTGGCCCCGGTCACACGGGCAGGAAAATGCGGGGGAGGGGGAAGCGTGGCGCGACGTCCTGTAGAGGTCCCATGGTTAGGGGGGAGGTGCCGATCACAGGACAATCCTGCGGTGTGGCAAAGGCCTCTCTAACAAAAGGCTCCATGGGTTTAACCTCTTCCAGGGCTGCAGAGGAATGCAAACTGTGTCCTCCGTCTGGTCCCCTCCAGGAGCTTCAGCCCGGCCGCCCTCCCGCCACGCCCCCCTGCACCTCCCCCTCTGCGGCTCGGTGTTCCTTGAGCAGGCCGAGCCAGGAGTGTGTGTGGGGGTTATGGAAAAGAGGAGGGGGCTGAAGTGTGCGCATGTGCCGTTGGGTGCTTGTGCGCATCCCGTGGAGCCTTGGGGGGGGAAAAAACTTTTAGCCACGGGACATGGGCGGGCGCCGGATGCCACGACCTACCACTGGAAACGCGATCAGGCGCCTGCCCTTACCCAGCGGTTTCCAGAAACTAGTACCTCAGCGGTACTAGTTTTTTACCCCGCATCTTCAGCGGGAAGCCTTGGGTTCGCCATGGGAGCTCTACGCTTCCCAGATGTTGCGGTGTGATCGTGCCCGGAAAATCCACCTATCTTCTGTCTCTGTAGCGTGGCTAATGCTCCGTGTGACTGCAGCCCTTATTCAGCTCATTCTTTAGGACTAGGATGGTGCCAACTCTGGGTTGGGAAATAACTGGAGATTTCAGGGGTGGAGCCTGGGGAGGGCGGGGTTTGAGGAGGGGAGGGGCCACTCCCTCCAAAGCAGCCATTTCCTCTGGGGAACCGATCTTCGTCACCTGGGGACCACGTGTAATTCCGGGGGATCTCCAGCTGCCACCTCGAGCCTTGTCAAAAGACGAGAGATCACGGGACGGACTGTAGCTCGTTAGGAAAACAACCGTGACATAATAACGATGTCGTGGTCCTTAAGATATTTGAGACCATTTACTTCAAAGGAAACAACTTTAATGTTTTGTAAAGGAAACAACTCCAATGATTTGTTATACGCAGGACACATAAAAATATTTCCCCTCTAATTGTTTAAACCATGACTTTGTGATTATATCACGGCTGTTTTCCTAAAAAGCTACCAGAAACAAGAAGGGAAAAAAACTGAACCTAACAATAAACTCCAGAACCAAACAAAGGTTAGTGAAAAGGAGGGTATTAAAACCTTTCCATAAAAAGAGGTACGTGTATTTATTGATAACAAATTTTAAAACATATATAGGAGCCCAATTACAACCAATGTATATAAAACATACAATATCAAGGGCTTAAAAAGTTGACCTTACGCGTTTCAGCCAAATAGGCCTTCCTCAGAGGTCATACATATGTGGCAAGATGGTTAATAATTATATTCACACAAACACAATCAGAAATATATACAAAGTATCGATTCAATAAGGACCATAAAGTAAATTGTTCAGCAGTAAAATCACCAGGCACAGGATAAATATGCACATAAGACCTTTAAAGTGCAATCACTAGCCCAGTGATTATAAAATAAACTTATGGTCCAAAAATTTCCTTCTTTGATTGTGTTCCCACAGTATTCACAAGTGTTGGACTGGATGGCTCATTGGCCTGATCCAACATTGGCTTCTCTTATGTTCTTATGTGTGTGTGAAAGTGGCCTGGTATCAGAATGAATCATTCTTAAAATAAACTGCCTGCTTTCCTAGCAAAAGCCTTTGAATGATTTTTTCCTCACAGATTAGTCTCAGAAACACGGGGATCATCTGGCCCTTAATTATTTTCCATTAACAGTAAGATATGTAATAGGTCTAAGATCTGGAACCATGAGAATTTCCATCCTATTCAGGTGAAGAAGTTTCTGCCCAGGCTTAGGGCCGCTCGGGCCTCGCTTTGAAGCTGGGTGGGGGAAGGGAAGGGGGGAGATCGAGCGGGGAGGTGTGTGGAGGAGATGGGGGAGGAACCGGCAGGATGGGGGGGAACTTACCTCCTCCTGCTGCTTCCTCCTCTGCCTCCTGTGTGGAGATCCCCCCCCGCGAGGATCGCGGGTCCCACCCCCTTGTGTGAATATAATTATTAACCATCTTGCCACATATGTATGACCTCTGAGGAAGGCCTATTTGGCCGAAACGCGTAAGGTCAACTTTTTAAGCCTTTGATATTGTTATGTTTTATATACATTGGTTGTAATTAGGCCCCTATATATGTTTTAAAATTTGTTATTATCAATAAATACATTTACCTCTTTTTATGGAAAGGTTTTAATATTGGCACTCCTTTTCACTAACCTTTGTTTTGTTCCTAACAAGCTACACCACCTTGAGCCTGGCAACAATGCCCATGGCCCAGATCTGCCTGCTGGTGGCTCTAACAGCAATCAAGACCTGGTAAAAAGTATGCCCACGTTTTGACATTAAAGAGGGCAAGAAGGCCCCGGAGAACCCAGAATTCCCCCATGTCTACCCAGGACCCTCAAGGGAATTCAGTTGCCTTCAACTCCTGTTGTACAACTCCTCTGTCTGCCCCGGCTTCCTGGAAAAGGGAAGGCGTGTCATAGCCCATCATACAAGGTAACTATGAAGACAACAAACTTTAAATCAATTTAATAGATTGACCATACTAAACTTTAAAGGGTTAGCCGGGTGAGGCTGTTGCAGCAGAAATATTTATTGCAGCCGTTTTCGTTTCAACCACAGAGTTTTTAAAAGGAATGAGAAACAAGACTCTTGAGGGAGAGCCCTTCCTTCCCACAGGCTTGTCTCCCCCTCCCCAAGATCTCACAAACTTCCCTGATGTGCTAAAAAATGCCAGCACCCACCCCATGTCGAGTTTTGGCCCTGACAAGTTCAGCCTAATCTCAACCTCAAAAAATGATAAGATTCATTCAGATGGGTAGCTGTGTTGGTCTAAATCAGCAGAAGAAAGTTAGAGTCCGGGGGCACCCTTAAGGCCAACAAAGTTTTATTCTGGGTATAAGTTTTCGTGTGCATGCACACTTCCTTCAGTATCTGCAGTGCGCATGCACACGAAAACTTATACCCAGAATAAAACTTTGTGGGCCTTAAAAGGTCCCACTGGACTCAAACTTTGTTCCAAAAAACGACGTCTGCATAGCTTCCACCCTTGAGGTGGAACCAGCTACGCATTCTGGCCCTCTTCTGACTACTGAACATGCTCTGTCCAGAGGCGAGCAATGACACCTTGTGTATCAGCCAGGAGCCAGTTCAAACATGAGAAGAGAGATAGAGGTTTATTATAGATCTCGTGAAATTTCCCACTGTCTGCCCCATTCTTTTGTTGGACAAAACGCTGACATCTTTTCATCCTGAGCTTGACACGAGCCCGGGCTTCCGGCTTCAGCACACGCCGAAAGGAAATCTGGCCGCACACTTTCCCAACCAACGTCCACGTTCACAGCTTGCTCAGCTTCTGCTGGAGCATGGTGCGCAGCTCCTTGTTGGTGACGTTCTCCGCGATGGACTCCAGGAAGTGCTTCTCGTTGGCCTTCCGCAGGGCCCTGCCGAGGGACTCGTCCGCTTCACAGAGCATCTGGTACTGGGAGAGGATCTCCAGGGAGAGGAGCAGGAGCGGCTCCCCGGTACTCTCCGGCAACATGGCTGCCACGTGAAGCGTGTGGCAAAACATCTGGATGTAAACAAAGGACAATTCCCGCGTCATGTTCTTCTCCTCCGTGGGGTGCCACTGGCAACGGGCAACGCCCTTGACGGAGCCCAGCAAATCTGAGAGGCTGAGGCAGTAGAGCCTCGCCACGTGTTTCCACGCCTCCCCGGGCAGCCACGTGGCGCCACTCGAACTGCACAGGAACTGAAAGCCCCGCAAGAGAAGCACCGAGAACTGGAGGTGATAGGCAAAAGGCTGGAAGTTCAGCAAAGGCAGGTGCTGAACGTATTCTAGAGAGTAAGGCACATAGAGGACCTCTCTGTCCAAGAGGCTCTTGATGACGTGGACGAGCCTTCTCCACTCGCTCTGGCTGCACCACGGGAACACCTGGACCATGGCGAGCAAAAAGCCCTTGCTGAACAGGTTGACCTCTTCGGGATTGTCCATGTTAATCTTGAGGAGCACGAGCATCTGCTCCCTCACGGCTGTGGAGACGCAGCAGCACTCTAGCCACGCCAGGAGCCCACTCCCCGCCCCATACGTGGGGAGGGAACGGGAGGTCCACTCATCCTCCGGGAGTTTACAGACCTCGAAGAGTGTAGCCGGGACCTCGTTTTTGAAGTGCTCTCCATAAACCTTCTTCAGACGGAGACCGATGGTCCAGTCCAAGGCCTCCGCCTTCTTATGCAGCCACGCGACCGACTGGCCCCACAGCTCCGGAGACACGGAGTCCTTCTGGACCAAGAGGATGTCGCAGAGCTGCGCCAGATTGCCAGCCACCATGTCTTTGGTCTCCAGCGAGTAGCTGTGCCGGTCCTGCGGCTCGTGCCAGTAGCGAGTGAATTCGTGGAGGAGCTTGCAGAGACAGAAGATGAGCGGGAACGGGTGGCAGGTGTGGATCCAGTGCTGGTCCGAAGGCAGAGGCACCTTCAAGGCCACGTCCAGGATCTGCAGGCACAGCTCAAGGTGAGGGAAGTCCGATCTCAGGAAAGGAATGACGAGATTTTGGGTCACCTCCGCTGGATCGAGGAGAGGGCTGGCCCCACTCGGCTGCATGAGGCACACCAGGAACTCCAAGAACTGTGCCTTCTCCTTGGTGGAGGACACCTTGTCCGTGACCGTCTCTTTCAAGCATCCCAGTATGAGGCTGGTATTCTCATCCTGACCGTGAAGTTCCTTGAAGTTGAGAGCCGGGAAAGAACAGAGGATCTCTGCCAGGAAATGGTGCGTTCCCAAGTTGGCCACGGCCAAGTTACAGATCTTCTTGACCGTTGCTTCGGGGTTGAGTATGGCTGAGCGGGACACCGAGTTCACCACTTTGGCAAAGCCTTCTCCAGAAGCGCTCTGGATGATCTGGTTGAAAGTGATATTGAGCTCCTCTGGAAAGCCTTTCCCAAAAGGCTGCAAGACCCCAGAGAGGCCTTGCCTGCCCCACCGGGACAAGACGCCAGAAATCACCACGTTCTTATCCAGCAACGAAAGTTCCGTGTAACAGTCCAGGATGACGTTGGTTGCTTTTGCCTGCTGCTCTTGGCTCTTGGCAGAATCAGCGGCGGTGCCCAAAGAGGCCGCGGTCTCCAGCAATTTCAAGACCAGCTCCGGCGTCTGGAACAGCTCTTTGTTCTTGACGAGGCAAGCCACCCAGTCCTTAGTGGACGCCCAGTTCTTTTCCGAAGCAAAGATGGAACACACCTCCATGTGCCGCTCCATCTTCTGTTCAATGATCACCATGGCCACGGACGCCACGAGGGTGCTGTCCGAATTCTTTCCCCTCACCTGGGGGTTGACCTTCTTTAAGAAGCTCCCAATCAGGCCGCCCAGCTCCAACATCCCCTGTGCCATGCCCTTGTCCAGGTCCTCCAGCTTGGCACAACCGGTCAAATTCTTCCCCAAGGAGTCCAGGCTGTCGAGAAACCGGTAGCTCTCGTAGCAGATCTCCTGGGGGTTGTTGAGGAGTCCCTGGAGTTCCACCGACCACTCTTCCAGCAAGGAATGCAGAAGGCCCAGGTGGCTGACCAGCGGGCTGCTCCACAGCTTGGCCAGGTTGAGCGAACTGACGCTCCTCTCTGCCTCCTTCACCTTCTCACCCAACCCCCTCTTGCTGTACCGGTTCTCGCAGTCTCTACTCCAGAGGGTGACCACGGACGAAATCTTGTCCAGGTAAACCTGGGCAGACAGCGAAGCCGGCTCGCTCTCGGCGGGAACCAAGACGGAAAGCACGTCCACTAGGTTGGCGAGGGCGTAACACTTCATCCTGGCGGGGCCAATGCTCTCTTTGATCCGCTGCAGCCCCTCCATTAAAGCCAGGAGGAGGCTGGCAATCTGGGGAGGCTCGGGGGCATCGCTCTTGAACCGCTTGGGGACGTGGGGGGTCTCGTCGGGGTCCGAGAGGTGCTGGCGAGAGACCACGCCAAAGAGCAAGGTCAGCCGGTCCTCCTGCCCCTCCTTGTGCTTCAGAATCTCCCACCAGACGTCCAAGAAGAAAGACACGTCCTCCGAAGTGGTCTCGTTGGTGACGTATCTGACGAAGGTCTCCAGCTCCCTCTGGCTGACGTGCTCCGGCAGCACCAAGAGGAGCTGCACAAACAGCCGGGGGGCGTTCACCGCCTTGAACAGCTCAAAGAGGACGGTGTGGTTGACCTCCGGGATCATGCTGCTCACCGAGAAGAAGACATCGTCTTTCCACCTCTGGTCAGCGGAGGGAGCCGAGGCGTCCGAGAGGAGGATTTTGGACCAGAGGATGACGGCCGCTTTCTTCTTCCAAGCGTTGGGCTGCGGCGGGTAGGCGGAATACGAGGTGCAGATCTCCTGCAGGGCATCGATGATGGGCTTCCCCACTTTGCCCCAATCGGACTTGGCCAGCTCCGACAACGGCTTGGGGTGGCACAGCCTGGACGCCAGCAGGAACCCGCCGTGCAAGATGGTCGCTTCTCCGCAGATGGTCACTGCCCCTGTTAGGAAACCAAGACATGCCCTGTTGAGAACCCGAGAACTAGTATCACGGGACGCCCAAAGTCAGGTGCCGGAGCTGGAGGACCCAGGCCCTGAAGGAGGGATTCAGCCAGGGTGCCACCGGCCGGCATGGGGCTACTTTATTATTTTACTAAATTTCTATCCCGCCCTTCCCCGTGAGCAGGCTCGGGGCGGTTCACAAAAAGAATCCAGCAAGATAAAAGCATGCTAAAAACAGTTAACGATCATCTAGATCTCCGGCTGTCCTCGACCAGAGCCGGGGCTTTCTTGGCCGTGGCTCCAACCTGGTGGAACTCTCTCTGCCAACCTCCATCACGGCCCCGTGGGACTGAATGCAATTCCGCAGGGCTTGTAAGGCAGAGATGTTCCGCCTGGCTTTTGGTTGAGGACAGCGACGGATTCCCATCACAGCCGGCACCCTTTCCTTCTCCTCTTCCATTCTGCCCGCTTCGGCCGCCTCCTTAATCTGTCCACGGGATAGAACAGCCCAGTGTAGGTTTTAGAATAAATTATGGATGCCATCGGGAGACTAGTAGATTAAGAAGAACTGATCTGCTGATTTTAATTTGTATTTTTGTATTGTTTTTAATCTGTTGTAAATCACCCAGAGCCTTGTGTACTCAGGAATTGGGCAATCCAGTAATAATAACAACAATACCCCGGTAATAGAATCACAAGATGGCAAACCAAGTTTACAGGCTTCCAGAGGATCCTAGAAGCATACCTGAATAGCTCCAGTGCTTGGGTGGGCAGCAGCCCCATAGAAGATGGAATAAAGTAGGCGAGATGGAGCAGGGGAGGCCATCATAGCTGGACACCCACCGCCCCAAGCAAAGGAGAGAGCAGCCCAACCAACCAAGATAAACCTATTTCTCCTCAAGGACCAATCCTCCAGATACACCCCAAGCCTCTTGCAGTCCCCACGGGAAACAAAAAATCCTGTTTCTATGGATGCTCCAAGGACATTTGGTCTGTACATGTATGCAGCCTATCGGCTTCCACACGAGTGCGTGAGTATGAATGTGGGCACGTAAGCATGGAAAATACGGGCACGGGCAGAAGCAGCCCCCTCGATGGGGAACACTAGCGGGGAGGGCCCCTACAGCTCAGCTGCAGAATTCACACCGAAGGTCCCAAGTTCGTCTCCAGGGAAAACAGGTGTCTGGCAGCAAGTGTTGGGGAAGGGCTGTCTCTACCGGAGACCCCTGGAGAGTCACGGCCTAGCAGAGAAAAACTGACAGGCAGGGCATGGCGGAGAAGGCCTCCCCCTGTTCTCTTTACCCGTCCTGGCCTGTCCTTCTGTATACATTTGCCTAATCCCCCTTTAAAGTCATCTAAGTTAGCTGTCACCACTACCTCCGGCGGCAGTGAGCTCCGCAAGAAAATTAAGTGTCCTATGAAGTATTTCTGGTTGCTGCTCTTATATGCTCCTGAAAGCTCTGCTTGCTGTCGATACGTGCAGCCTCCTGAGTTTTTTGAGGCATATTCTCAGAAGCCCTCTCTCTTCTTCAGTACTTGCAGTGAGGGCAGCACAGCAACCACGGAGATGCACCTTCCGGGGCGAAACATTATCCTGGTCACCAATGGGGCAAACTGACGGGATCTGGGACCTTGCCAAAGAAAGCAGGTGGGATAACCGTACAACCCCTCCTCCCCTTCCCAATTTAGGTTTTTTTTACAAAGTTTGTGGCAATTTGTGTTCACACGCTGAGTCCCTTTTCTCTCAAAGCAGCGCGAGTCTTTTTTAAAAAAACGCGACTGAAGAGCAAAGCATTTCTGATGATACGCATTCAGAGAGGAAATAATCCCTGTTCATGTGTTACAAGGAATGCACATACGTCCTACCTGTTATGTGCACACACACCTGATGGTAAGAAAAAGCCAGTGCATGTTTCCTTTATGAATTAAACCAGGGACCAGTGCCTGGATAAATGCAGCAGGGTCTGAATCACATGTTCAGCCCTACCTGCATTGGTTTAACATGAGAATTACTCGATGTAAGTAAAAATAAACTGTACACAGATTTTTCTACTTTATATATATACTTCCCCTCCTTTATTTAGTTGCTGGATTTTGAGTTTTTCCCCCTTGGTGGTTTGTGTTTTTTTGAAAGGAATAAAAAATAAAAACAAGAAAACACAGTACACAGATTGTGTGTGCATTTGCTGTAACTTATGCACGGGGCTACAGCCTTTTTAAAAGAACAAAGTTTGAGTCCAGTGGCACCTTTAAGGCCAACAAGGTTTAATTCGGAGCATAAGCTTTTGTGTGCACGCACATTGCTTCAGATATCTGAAGAAGAGTGCATGCACAGGGCAGCTTATATCCAGAAGTAAATTTTGTCGGGTCTTAAAGGTGCCACTGGACTCAAATTTTGTTCTGCTGCTTCAGACCAACACAGCTACCCAGCATGATGACCCTGCCAATTTGCCTTTTAACAGGTTGGTGGGTAAGGTTGTGGGTACTCTCTTTCTTATTCAAACTACTATGGGTTGTTTGTGTCCACCTTTAAGACCAACACAGCTTCATTCTGCATATAAGCTTTAGAAGTGTGTAAGCACACAAAACCTTACACCCAGAATATAACTGTTGGTCTTCAAGGTGCCACTGGACTCTTTGTTCTGTTCCTTTAGACCAACAGGGCTACCCCACCTGAATCAGCCTTTTTAAAAGGCAACGATCACTACTTTTAAGCAGGGGCCGAGTGTTCCCCCCCGGGAAACTTCATGGAAAAATAAAAACTGGCCACTGTGGGGCTCCAGTCTGAGTGTCAGATAAAGACCTGGGTTCAAATCCCCGATCCGCCCAAACTGGGTGGACCAGTCACTTCCTCTTAGCCTAATCTATCTGGTAGAGCTGTGGGGACGGGGGTGTAACAGTGCATCTACTAGGAAACAGGGAATAAAAACGCAAGATGCAAACAGGCAAAGAACTATGGATTATATTCGGAGTCCCCTTTTAATTTCCTTTTAAGTAACGGGCATGCACATAGGCCACGTGCCCTCTGAGCAGAATACTATTTTTCAAAGTTCTGAGTCCAGTGGCACTTTTAAGACTAACCTACCCAGAATAAAACTTTGTTGGCCTGAAAGGTGCCACCGGCCTCAGACTGTCCTGCTGCTTCAGACCCACACGGCGACCCCGCCTGAAATTGTTTTCTAAAGCGACAAAACCCTAACGGCGAGGGGGTTTCTGAACGTGCGCAGAGAGACTTCCCTTTTCTGGACAGCATGCGCACAGACGCTCCCCCAAAGCAACGTGCAAGCGGCGCCTCTCGGAGCACGTGCCCCGCACTGGCTCCCGGCCACCCACCCCGATCTGGCCCACCGCGGGGCCGCGGGAGGACGCCCGCTCCAGCCCGGCAACCCACCTAGGTCCATGGCCGCTGGACTCCCGCCCGCGGCACAAAGCCCGGAGGAGCCCCGCGCCGCTCACTCGCGCTGCAGCGTCTGCCGCTCGGCCGCCCTGGGTGCCGCGCTCCCCCTCCGCCGCCGCCCGCTGCAGCTCCTCCCCGGCCCTCAAGACGGGGCAACGGAAGGCCCGGAAGCGCCGAAACAGCTACCTCTGCCGGCTGATGCGCAACACCGCCCGCCGGCGCCGGGCGCCTCCCCTGCCCGCCTACACGAGCTGGTAAGGCGGGACGAGGAGGAGGAGGAGGTGGCCCGGGCCCGGCCGAGGGGGCGTTAACTGGGAGGAAGGCGGGCTTTTGCGAACGAACAGCCCCCCCCCCTTTGAGCGCAGATTATATAGAGTTGCCAACCTCGGGGTGGTGGAAGGGAAAGGAGTTTGTCAGCCGCTCTGAGACTCCTTTGGGTAGTGAAGGGCCATGGGGTATAAATCCAATCTCCTCCTCTTCTTCTTCTGTTTGCTCTATCCCTCGATCATGTCATCCCCCCCCTCAGTCATTGTTTTTCCAAGCTAAAGAGCCCCAAGCGCTTCAGCCTTTCTTCATAGGGAAGGGAAGGTGTTCCAACCCTTTTAGCATTCTGGTTGCCCTTTTCTACACTTTTCCCAATGCTATGATGTCCTTTCTGAGGTGTGGAGACCAGAATTGCACACAGTATTCCAAATGAGGTTGCATCATCAATCTATACAGGGGCATTATGATACTGGCTGATTTGTTTTCACTTCCCTTCCGAATAATCCCTAGCATAGCATTTTCCTTCTTTATTGCCGTCCGCACACTGTCTCGACAGTTTCAGTGAGTTACCTACTACAACTCCAAGATCTCTCTCTTGGTCAGTCTCTGCCCGTTTGGACCCCATCAATGTGTATTTATATTCAGGATTTTTGGCTCCAATGTGGCACTTGGCCACAATTGTACCCCATTTGCCACGTTGACGCCCACTTGCCCATCCTTGAAAGATCCCTTTGGAGTGCCTCACAATCCTCCCTGGTTCTCACCACCCTGAACCGTTTCTTGTCATCTGCAAATTTAGCCACTTCACTGCTTACTCCCAGCTCCAAATCATTAATGAAAAAGTTATAAAGCATCGGCTTTTGAGAAGAAGAGGGGGATGGTGGCCACCCCTCTCCCTCCCTTCCTGCAAGATACAAAGGGCCCTCAGGGTGGCTGCCGGCAGTCGGGTTTGGGGGCGGATTGGAGCTGATATAAAAACAATGGCAACCCCACCAGAAAACATTTTGCTCCACAAGCCGCAAAATCCTGGCTACAGGCCTGCCCGTGGGGGTATGGCAGCAGTGGCTGTGAGCCTGAAGGGTCTGGCAGGGACCAAGAGGTGCGGGGGTTCAGATCTGCCCACCCACACTTATACAATCAGGCTGTTGAGCAGGCTAGAGACCTGCCTTGAACACCTGAAGCTGCCTTGTGAGCCGGTCCCTGGGGTCTCCTGAGGTCCCTCTTGTCTATTCTGACAGGGAGCGGCTCTTTAGGGACTGAGGTAAGAGATCGTTCACATCACCTGTTACCTGGTCCTTTTGAAACTGGAGAGGCCAGGATTGAACCGGCGACCTTCTGCACACAAAACAAATGCTCGCCCATTGATCTGCGGCCCCTCCTTACACCTTACATGTGCTCAGGAGCACGCTTTTAAAACGAACTTAATTAGTTTTTATAATTAGAATGGAATCCCGTCTTTAATTCTTTAAATGTCCAGCCACAGAACTAGTAATAGTAGTTAGCATCTCTGGAACATCTTCAGAGATGGAAAGTTTATTTACTAATTCTTTACTCTTATGGTACGCTTAATTTGGGAAAATACACAGATTAAAAACTCTACCAATCAAGTGTTCATTAGTGTGCTTAAATATGAGACGGGATATCTTTTAGGTCAGTGGGCAGCCCCAGTGCTCATCACAAAAACAATAAAACCAAGCCACGTATAAACGGGGGATCTCTCCAGATATGCAGATAAAGAGGATTGTACCTATGAACCAAAAAAGAAATATCCACTCAGCCCCTCAATGCTTCAGAGTAACCAGATAAGGACTGAGCATGCTGTAGGAGGTGCCAAATACTAAGAGCAGCTGAGAGTCAGATAAAAGGGAGTACAAAACAGTGACAGGAAAATCAGCCTGTTCAAGGCCTTAACAACTCGGGAAGGGGCCGTAGCTCAGTGGTAGACCAGCTACTGCCATGCAGGTTTCATGTCCAGCCCCCAGCATCTCCAGTTAAAAAAGATCAGGTAGGAGCAGGGGTCATTTCTGCAGGAGCGCACAGGAGTGGAGCTCCGGCAGTAAAGAGCCCAGCAGGCACATGCAACAAGCCCCACCCCTTGCTCCCAGCAGCCCTCAGTCAGAGCAAGAAGCAGCCAGGTAAGTTGCAGAGCCCCCCCCAGTCCAAAACAGTCCAATGGCACCTATAAGACCAAGTTTTATTCAGGTACTAGCTCTCCCTCCTCTGCGAGGACAGATCTGCACATCCCCCCCCCCCAGTAGCTAGCTATCCAAAACAGTCCAGTGGAGCCTGAGCGGTGGGGGTGGCCTTCTGCG